AATGTATGCAAATATTCTTAAACATCAGAAGCATAAAGTTTCCAGATGTGAAAGAAACAGTCTTGCACTGATGAGATATAACCAATTGAAAATGTTACTTATTCTAACTTTTTCTACCCACTTTTTTCCCCCAACCTATGTGACCCAAAGTATGCACACAACATCAAGGCATGCACCCAAAGTATGCACAGGATCATTCTAGAATCATGAAATACAGAACCCATTGTGACAACAAAAAACAGAAAGGAAAAACAGAAAAATGATAGGGAACTCACCCAAGTCAAAAAAAAGGAGCAAAATTAAAGTGCAGAAAGTAAAATGCGTGACAGATAACCATCAAATGAACAAGAAGGAAATAGAAGAGAGAATAGTAACATTCTCAAGCATGAATGAGCACAAATTGTAGAATAGAACAGATATCCTTGACCCCTCATGATCAACTGCCAAGATATCCTAGAAACCTTGTGATCAACTGTAAAGAATCGATATCCTAGAAAAATCAAAAATGAACTTTGGAACCAAATATGCCTACACTCTCCAAGATATTCCAACTCTTTAGACAGCCTAGAACCATGCACTTTCCTTCCATAAAAACCCACACTAAGCTCTCACCCTATCAATATGCAAGAAGACCATAAGGCCATCAGTTAGACTGAAATCAACATATAATCTGAAAAATGGATCAGCGAAAATAAAACAGATGAAAAAGCAATTTTGCACCCGGAAAGTAACTTAAGAGTAAGGGGATCAGACTGACACGAGTTACTGAAAACAGAGCCATCAAAATCTAATAATGCTCAGAAATAAAGTTATCCAACCATTTCCAACAGACCCAAACAAAAAGTGACCTTCGAATCAGTATCATCAATACTTCAATACCCAAAATAGATCATACATACATATGCTAGGTGTACGCAAAAGTCACAAACCTATAAAGTTCTTCGAAGCTAAGCCCGCTAGCATTGTGATTGTAAATTTCGTGAATCGCATGCTCAAGGATCTTCCAGGTCTTCTCTGCGTACTTGGGATCAACCACGACCCGATGCTTAAAGGCCTCAATTTGGAAGTTCCTCTTCTTCTGAGCACTCATTTCACAAATTTAACTTATCGCAGGCCCTAAATACTCGATAAAACCGATCCTCGGTTTGAATCGAACCTGAAAGAAGCTTCGCAAACCCTCAATCCAAAACCAAAAAACCCGATTGAGATTGAATGGTTTGGGTTCGGTGAGAAAACCCTAGCGGTTGACCCGAATTTATAATACGATCGAACAAAATTAGAGCATGAGAAAAGGGTTTTGGAGTCCAAGGGGGTTTGAGATGAAGAAATATAATAAAATTAGGGTTTCGGAATGAAAAGGGGGATGAATCAGTGGAAATAAAGCATAAATTGGGGATGATGATACCGGAGAGGAAAAGGGAGAGAGATAAGAGAGAGAAAATGACGAATTAAAATATTGCACTTCTAAGAAGTTGTTTCATTATTTCATCTTTCTTTCTTTTTCTTCAGTACAACAACTCTTTTCTCCTTTACCCAAAATAATAATAATAATAATAAAACTCTTTTCTCGTCTTTAGGTCTCTTTTGATTTGAAAGCAAGCACACCGAGAGAGAGAGAGAGAGAGAGAGAGAGAGAGAGATATATAAAGACCATTCAACCCCACTTCCCCTTCAGTCTAACCCTGCAAATGGATGGGCTCTTTTGAGAATCCAACTCTAGTAACGTGTACATGTGGGTCGCCGCCGCTCCATCGCCTCACCCACAGGAGCTAAAAATCTCCCTCTTAAAACACTATTTATCCTTCTACTTTTGTAAACGTATATTTTCCATTTGGATTTTTAGTTTACTTCTTGGTTTACATCACAATCACGAGAAAACACTACTATCAATTAACTAACAGCGAATATATAAATATATTCATACACAAATTATACACATTCTACCTAATTTCTTTACAAAACAGAAGAAAATAATGAGAATAACAAGTAGAGAGTCAGAAGAAAAACACGAGTAGAGGAGTACAGCATTTGCAATGGAGACAAAAGATGAGATAGCTTATATTGGGTACGTTTGGATGAAGAAAAATAACTCGAAATTTAACTAAAAGTCGGGAATTTAATAGGAAAAATTGACAATTCCCTTGTTTGGTAACTTAAGTACGGAATTTATTAAATGACACTCGGAAAAAATCGTGGAAATTAGGACATCAAATTTTTGAGTTTAATTTCCACTAAAACATGTATCATTTCACAATTTTCATAGTGTCATGTACAAAATTTGACATACATAAATTCAAACACTGAAATTTTCAATTGCCATAAATTGAAATAATGGAAATCTAAATTCCATCATTTTAGAATTCTATGTAATTTTCAATTCCTTCATTTAAACAGAGGGTTAGGGAATTTATGGCTATATATGAAGAAGATTGTTTATCATGAAGTATTTTTTCCATTCGAAAAATAGTTGGAGTCTATTCTAATATTTTTGTTAGTCACTCCCAAAGTAACATCATTGTCACTCAAGCCCAAGTGCAACCCAAGTCTCAACCCTTATTTTCTCTGCCTAGGAGGTATTTTATCAAGCAGTTTGATTCCATTTAGCAAGAGTAAGTGGAGACAAGTGCTTTTACTTGCACTTTAATAGATCTACCCATCGAGCTCCCGTTGTAAGAAAATAATCGATAATTAAACATTTCGAGAAACATGATTGTGATTTTGATAACAAAGAGAATATGTATAATACCATATGACGATTAGTTTCACTTAAGTATGTCAACAATATAACATGTCGATAATTTTTATTTTTTTGTCATAAACATGTCGATCTAATCCTAATCAAGCATCATTATACGATTTTGTTGGGACCACCATAGCTCAACAACTATATCAATAAAAAAAAACTATATCAATAATATTTTAGTGGTAGTATATAGATGAGATAGTTGCATTTCACCACCCTTATATATGCATCCCTACAAATGAAAACTTTCCAATTATCTTGGCAAGAAAAATATAATTAATAACCAAAACTAAATCACAAATCAAACAAATTTTTTATTTATAAATTTGTAAGAATTAGTATTTACAAACCTTTTTTTTTTTTTTAAATTATTCACAATGATTAAATATTCTTGTAGGTGGCTGGACATTGCCATTGCTCGACTCTGTTGGACCCGAAGTCCAGAAGGGGCAGGGGGCCCAACATTAATTGGTTATGACTGAAATGGGCAAAGTCCAATCAAAGGCAAGCGCCTTCACATCGAAGCCCAGCTTAGACAGAGTGGCAAACTTGTCATTTCGGCCGTGTGACTAGGGTTTAGCCATTTTAGGGTTTGCATATAAAGCAAAACATTGTCCCATTTGTTTCGCCCTCTCTTATCACTGCTCGGCAGCTCTCTTTCTCTCTACGATCTTTTCTGGATCTGACCTAAGGCTAACCAGCCATGGTGCACGTTAGCTTCTACCGCAACTGTAAGGCTCTCACTTCTCTCTGCATCTCATATGTATGGACCAATTAGGGTTTTGAACGAGATGTTTACCTGTGTTTGTAATTTGATTACTTTCTCTGCGAAGGAATTTGAGTTGATTCATTTTGTTATTGCAATCGGAAACTGTTTTGATCGGTGCCTTTTGATTTTGCCCAGTTGAGTTTCCCATTGTTTAAACATCACCATTAAACTTTTGCTTTCGACCAAAAGAGTATATTTCAATTCGTTGCAGCTTCTCAAGCTTCTTGAGCCTCGTAAATAAATTATGTTTTAGTTTTTTATGCTAGATCTGATTCACAGTTTTGTTATCGACTACTGACTGTGAAGCTTTGTCTGTTGGAAGAGTAAAAGGCGTAAAATCAGTGTATATGAAATGTCTTAGGTGGGTGCTTAAAAATATACTGTCTTTAATGATGAAATGTATTTGGGTGAAATTTGTTTGTTAATCTTCCTAATGATAATCCATTTCCGTGTTGTTTCCTGTAATCTGAGAATCGGTATATGTTTGAGTATAAAGAAGAAAGTTGCAGATTATGATTTTGTTCTTGCCAATAATTATTATTCATGAGTGATAATGAGAAACCTAAAGAATGTTTCAAATTAGGATATTGTTCTCGCCAATATTTGTGATTAATGAATGATATTGTGTCTAAGAAAGTGTTTATATTATAATGGGTGATTTCAGACGGGAAGACTTTCAAGAAGCCACGACGTCCTTATGAGAAGGAGCGTCTGGATGCTGAGTTGAAGCTTGTTGGAGAATATGGGCTTCGATGCAAGAGGGAGTTGTGGAGGGTTCAGTATGCTTTGAGCCGTATCAGAAATGCTGCTAGGGAACTTCTTACTCTGGATGAGAAGAGTCCTCGTCGTATCTTTGAGGGTGAGGCTCTTCTTCGCAGGATGAACAGGTATGGGCTTCTGGAAGAGACCCAAAACAAACTCGATTATGTTTTGGCATTGACTGTGGAGAACTTTTTGGAGCGTCGGCTTCAAACCCTCGTGTTCAAGACTGGTATGGCTAAGTCCATCCACCATGCTAGGGTGCTTATAAGGCAAAGGCACATCAGGTATAAACCTCATTTTCCTGGAAAGCTTTTGTAATCTTCTCATTTTGTGTGTTTCTGGTTTTGTTCTCTATATATAGAAGCAGCTGTTAACTGGGCTGATAAAGTGACTGACTGTGTACTGAATGACCTGTTTTTTGGGTTCCTAATGATGCCTTAATGTGTTATGAATGACTAACAATTATTCTTCTATCGGTTTAGGAGTGCATTGTATTGATCACATGTACTTTTCGAAATAGAATAGTACATTTGAATAGATCGTGGGAGAATAAACTCTTGTTGCGATTTCCAATCTGACTTGCGTTCAAACTGTTGGATGTTTGCTGCATGATGCTAATTGAGGACCGTGTCTTACCAACCACACTATCTTGAGTAGCTTGTAGATTGATGTTTTTTTTGACACTTATCTATGTTAATTATCGGTGTGATTATTTGGGTTGACTTTGTCTGCTGTTGTTGGGACATGTTCAATGACTACGTTCTTGTTTGTTGAACCTACTTGTGTGATTAGTGATGTATTCTGTGTAACAAGTTTAATGTAGAAGCTGGTGGTGTTCGTTGTTTAATTCACTTGTTTCATTTCCAGGGTTGGAAGACAGGTTGTCAACATCCCATCTTTCATGGTGAGGGTTGACTCCCAGAAGCACATTGACTTCTCAATCACAAGTCCCCTCGGAGGTGGGCGCCCCGGAAGAGTGAAGAGAAGGAACCAGAAGGCAGCTGCCAAGAAGGCTGCAGGTGGTGGTGATGGAGACGAAGAAGATGAAGAGTGAAGTGGATGAGGCCTCAACTTAGATTGTGTTTTTATTTCATGCGCCCTTTATTTCATCGTTAGTTTCTTTTACTGACTTCACCGTCTGTATTGTAGTGGATGCTGGTAAACGTTTCCTGTTGTTTTATTGCGCCTAGAACTCAAAATGTTTTGCTTTTAATACCTTAGTAATGAATTTTGTGGTGGTAACTTGAGAGATTTTTAAGTCCTGTTGGTTTTCATCTAGTGTCGTGATCTTCCCTTTTTTTTGGGCTTAAAATTTCCGTCTCAATTATTGGTACCTTCATGTTGATGGAGCTCGCCTTGTAATTTTGGAGCTGTCTCTTTCTGGCTCGTGCAACCTTTTAAAATCAAATAGGATCACGGTTGTCACCAGAAAATCGACTTGGGTAAGGCTGCAGACCACGTGTCTGCTATCTAATCTGGTCCTCCTAGTGCAAATTACAAGTGCAACTCATCTTCACCGCGTTTTGTCTTTAAATATTATATTAAAGATTTCTAGAGATCACTGATGTGGAATGTCTCGGTCGATCAGGTTGCTCTTCCTCCTTTTAGACGACATGAAAAGAAAAGAGGAGCTTTAAAATCTTAGTGGCCATGCAGATTCTAGACGTAGAAGCTTTTAAATTTGACTCAACCCTCTTCAAATTCCATGCCACTTGTCCCAGAAATCCCCAACCAAGCCTAACACTTGGCTATAAATAAACCAAGTGCCACATGGACACCACTTAACGCAATCAGAACAAGAATACAAGAACAACAACTACTAATGCTAAATCAGATCCTGATTGAGGACAGCGACATATCCAATATCGTTTGTACAAATTACCCTCCGGACTTAATTAAATTTAGTGATTAATCACCCTAGTTCTAGTGACGTGGCAAGCACCCAGTGAAGGGCAAGGGAAACCAAGTTTCCTAATCGGTTTCCTTACAAAACGGGAACAGACTCGTCCTCCTCATACAGATGATGACCACTCTGAAAGAGGCCGTTAGAGCTGTCTCCAAGTCGGAGTTTATACTAACCATGTGATACCCTCATTTCTCTCCACCATTCTTTGCACGTGTCGCCCCCTCATAAGTTTCCCTCCTTCACGTAACCAGTCCCTGCTCGCAATAAAAACTCAGGTCCCCAACCAGAGCTCTCGCCACTGCCCAAACCGCACCGTATTGCTCAAACCAAAATCAAACATG